GATTTTAGGGCAGAGACTAACATATCTAGACATTTAGTGGTAGAATAAGGTGAAATACAAGGAGGATGGTGTTAGTGGGTTAGACGTAAGATAAAATGAATTGCCTTGATAAAAGAAAGGTTAGGATAAAGCATGAATTACTGCTGAAAGAAAGGTTAGCTAGAAAATGAGAGGTCAAAGAGGCTATGGTATTGATTTCAACCAGAAGTGTAAATGTGCAACGTAAGTTTTTATTGTGGGAAGAGTAATAGTTGGTGAAACTGTGTAACACAGAAAATAAAAACAAGTTTATCACACGAAAGACTTTTAACATGTAAATATATAAGAAAGATGAGATACATACAACAGAAAAGTTAAGAGAAAGGTAAAGGCGCACATTAAATTTGCGGAGAATAAATCTCAGGTTTGGAGAGCAATAAACAAGGTGAGAAAAACCTAGAGAAAATATTTACTGTGTTTAAGAGTGAAAATGTTGAGGCGCTGGATAAGGAACTTGAAGTGAACTTGAACTTGAAGTGTTTTAAAGATGAAAGATAAGAAGGCGAAGATGTTGAAGAGATGGGGAGAATATTTGGCAAAGTTGTTGAATATAGATGATAAAATGGGGCAGATATATTATGCATACTTCAGAGAATAAAAAATTAGGAGGTTTATTACTAAAACCTGAAAGTGAGTGTGAAAGATTATGAGGAAGTAAGTAGAGTGGAAATGAAAAAAAAAATAGCAGAGGGAATGGATGAGAATAAGATATAAGACACTGACAACAGGCGGGGTGAAGATCTAGAATTATTGGAGGAGTGTTGGTGTAATTAGGAAAAGTACCTAAGAACTGGCAAAAACACGAAGAGTTATTTGGTATAAAGTAAAGAGGATCAAAGATAAGTGTATTATGAGGTAGGAACCTTGATAATGTAAGAAACCACGAAAGCGCCTGGAATTTAGCTATTTTCTCGCAGTGGTTGTTCTGCATATTGTGATATCACCTGTTTACTGTAATCTTATTGCTTGTATAATGTATGTATATCAATGCACCACGAAGAAACGAGCAGAGGAATGTACATGGAAAGATCTCCGCCAGCAGGATTCGAACCCACATTTGTTGTCCACGAGTGTGGCTTAGCTCCCACAGATGCTACAAAACGCTCAGTAGCCTGGCTACAAGTCATGTTTCTAGCACCTGGCACAGGAGGAGAATGCCTGAGGCTCACTGGTGTGCCCGGCGTTAGGAAGAAACATGGCTTGTAACCAGGCTACCTAAAGTTTTGAGGCATCTGTAGCTGAATGGTCTAAGGCGTCACAGTGAGAGCTAAGCCACACTCGTGGCTTATAAACGTGGATTCAAACCTTGCTGGCCATGATCTTTCTGTGAATATACCTCCGCTTGCTTCTGCGTGGTGTATTGATACAATATCGATCAGTGAAACATTTCGCCCAGGGCTGGGCTTTAAATTAGCACCATAGGAACAGGATCGGACAAACACATGTCACATACACAGTGCGAGAGGTCACACATGAGGTCATAAAATGCGAGATCGTCTGGTGAGGTCAGACACTGGTGTCAGCAGGACCTGAGGGTAAGGTGACAAGTTTTTTGCGGGCAGTGTGGGCAATAGGTCCAGCCAACATGTACATTCCACATTCCATATTTTTGGTGAGGTTTATCACCGCTGCTTCCAAAATTCTGCGTCTGGCTGTCGTGATGTAACAGTTGTGCTCTTCTCCAGTTCATGACGTGAGAAAGAACGATGCGATAAACTACGCATCTGTTATTAGTTTTAATATTCTTCTGGAGGGCATATCTGAAGGTCTCTGGCGGTTTCCCCAACGTAGAACTTATCACAACCACCACATATGCTGTATTCTCTTGCCGTGAAAACAGTTTTGGGTGTAGGACTTCTAGCCATATCCGAAATGCCGGGATCAGTCAGCATCTCATACTTGCGACATTCCGGACACCTCTCCAGGATCAACAATGTGACCATTAAAAACAAGAAACTCGATAGTTTGGACGTGACCTCCCTCTTCACTCGAGTCCCCATCGATCAAGTAATTGCCTTCCTTCGCAGCTCTGTCACTGCAGACTTTAACTTGCCTCTTCTCGTTCGGGCTTACCTTGACCTTGTTGAAGCCTGGATGAGGTTCGACCTCTTTACCTCAAGTAATAACATTTACAAAAAAAAAAAAAAAAATGGAATGGCTTTGGGGTTCCAACCCTCTTCAGTGTAATGTTAGTGTTCTTTTAGAACACTTTGAGAGGAACTGTTTTAAAGATATCCCACTATATATCATTTGGCTTAGATATGTGGCTATCTTTGTGATTGTTCTTAGGCATTTCATACTAAGTTCAGAGACTCGCTTAACGTGGTTGAGTCCCCCATACACTTAACACTAGGAGGAAGCGAGACTGATCCTTAGCCTTTCTCAATGTTTTACTCATCAGAGATGGAGATAATCTTTCAAAGTAAGGTACACAGAAATTCCACCAATAAGGACTTAATACGCTACTTCTTCCACCATGACCTCAAAACCAAGAGGGAGGTTATCATAGTTTTCTTTCTCCGAGCACTCTGAATTTTCAGTAATAAATATTAGAAGAACAAGAATATACCGAGGTGTTCAACATCTTCAAATTACCAATGTACATTATCTGCTTTGCAAACAGAAAGCTTCATTAACAGCATACCCAACGAAGATTCTAACAGCGATAAACGACTGGTCCTTCCCACTGAACAGACGGCCATTACCATCGCCCTGATTCTCCGAAAAGTCAACATGGCTTTAGCAGTCATTACTTCCAAAACTATTAAAGAGATCACCAGAAGCCCTAAACTCAAAACTATTTGTACAGGAGGAGTGTACAGCATACCTTGTGGTGGTTGCAATAAATTCTGTCGGGGAGAACGACAAAGACCTTCAGAGATGCCTTTAGGAACATAAACATGGACTGGGGAAGAGCACAGTTGTGCAAGAATGGTATATAATACCGACAAGATAAAAGTTAAGACACATGTGCAACATCTGGGTATCTTTATGGTAGACGTATCGCCATCCAGTGGCTTTATCAATACAAATTCTAGGACATAACTTGAAGACAGTAGGACTATATACAGAAGATGAGGTAATCAGTCCCTCAACCTAGGAGTAGGTGCGAAGAGCACCTACTCCTAGGTTGAGGGACTATGGTGCTCTTCGCACCTACTCCTAGGTTGAGGGACTGATTTCCTCATCTTCTGTACATAGTTCTACTGTCTTCAAGTTATGTCCTAGAATTTGTGTTGATAAAGCCACTGGATGGCGAAACGTCTACAATAAAGATACCCAGATGTTGCACATGTGTCTTAATTTTTAAGAGCACAGTTGTTACACTACAAGACCAGCAGGACCAGAGGTAGAATTTTGGGAGCAGCAGCAATAAACACCAAAACCAATGAGCAAAAGAGTGGAATGTACATGTTGGCTGAACCTATTGTCCACATTACTCGCAGTTCATAAGATAAACATAAGCTTGTCACCTTACCCTCAACCCCTGCTGACATCAGTACGTGACTTCACCAGACTTGATCTCGCAGTTTATAAACTCATATGTGACCTCTTGCAATGACCTTGTGTGTGGTATATCTTTCTCTAAGCTTGACCTTATGGTGCTCGTTTGTCTTATAAAGCAAAAATTATATTCAAAGCATTCTCTACTACCAGTCTCTTATTCCTTTGATGTGGGATTACCAAAATCACTACTAAGAGGGCGCAAGAGAGGTTGAAGTGATTTGGATGTTTAGAGAGGATGGAGCAAAATAGGATGTCGAAGAGAGCATATAAATCTAGGATGGCAGAAGAGAGTCGTTGGGTTAAGGAAGGTTTTGAGTGCTAGGGGCTTGGGCATTCTACAAGCTCGTGTAAGCGTGTTATGTATGTTAGGTTGGTGTGAAGAGCACTACGGTACTCTTCGCAACAACTCCAAGGCTGAGGGACTGATTATCTCATCTTTTGTATATAGTTCTACTGTATTCAAATTGTCCTAGAATCTGTATTGATAAAGCCACTGGATGGCGAAACGTCTACAATAAAGATTCCCAGATGTTGCACATGTCTCAGTTCTCAAGCGTGTTATATAGGAGCAAGTGGATGCTGTAGGAGTGTGAGCAAAGTAACGTTTATGAATCATAATCTGGACTTGAGTCCTGGAAACAGGAAGTGCGGCGCCTACATTCTACAGGGATGTTGTAGTCGAGAGGATCATCTGAGCTCTAATACCATCATGCTTCTGAGAAAACCGCGATTGAGTGAATGATAGCGAAGGTTTGGCTTTTCTCCGGTCATCTTACCTCGGTGGACAACTCCGGTGTTTTGGAAAAAAAATATCCCTGCTAGAAAACATACAAATCAATCTCCGCTTTCATCACTCCTGATATCATTCATCAGTACTAATTGTCAACTTTCAGAATTATTAACTCGGCTCAAAAACTGAAGGAAATTGTAACAATACATAAATAGCTATTATGTATGTAAGTATCAATGTTGTATATTCTGAAACACGAAATCAAACACCATGTTTTTGATTGTACGAAGCTCCTGATTCTTGTCAAGAGAATCTGTCAAAGGCAGCAGAACTAGGATGTAAGGACAAGGCGACGTAGAACCTCCCCGTACCATGGTTGAAGGTACACTGGCCTTACTTAGATCCTCTTTCAGGTTTCAATATTTTGTGATCACATCATCCTTGTACCTCCACTGCTGCTGCTGTTTCTGTACTCGAGGGATGTGCTGGAAAGAAACACTTATGCACAGTTTCGCCACGAGCAGCGAAATGTTTCTTCTAATAAATTGCACAAATTGTACACAAGCGTCTTCCATATATTTTGTCTGTCACCGTATCATTTCTCGACTGATGCAGCCTACTGTGTGTGTGTGTGTGTGTGTGTGTGTGTGTGTGTGTGTGTGTGTGTGTGTGTGTGTTGCCAACATGCCACCTGCTAATTCCTTGTTGTTGTTGTTGCAGGATGGAGGGCGAAACGTTCCCAGCCAGCGTGAGAGAAATGAGCCGTATGTTGCAAGAGGCCTCCCTCACTCAGGACACACCCACGCCCCCAGACTCCCCCTCCCACTCTCCCACGCCCACCCCCTGCCACCAGTCCTCCAAAGATGAGGCCAGTGACCCTTGTATGGGGGAGGGCGAGGGGTGCCCTGTAGAGGAGGAGGTCGCTGGGGTAGAGGAGGAGGAGGAGGAGGTCGGCACGAAGGAGGCCGTGGTGGAGGTGGGCGGGGGCGGGTCTTTCGAGGTGGGCGGTGCAGTGGTGGGCGGCGCTAGCAGTGAGAGCAGTGGGACGGGCGGCAGTAGTGGGCCAGTCAGTCTTTCTCAGATCTTGGGTCGGCCAGTGTATGCTGCTGCTCCCCCTGCCTCTCTTGTGTGCCGCCCTGCCACCCCTACCACCCCGCCCACCCTTACCCACTCCCCCCCGCCCTCACCCATGCCGGTGGCCACCATGGGTAACGGCACGTCAGGCCAAACTGGCGGCCACCAACACAATCTTCAGCCCCACGGGGTACACACCGGGGGCGCTGGCCCCGGGGTGGGGCGCGGGGTAGCCAAACCCGTTTACCCGGAGGATTATAACTACCTCAAAGGACTAGTGCCCGAGCTCAAGGCTGAGGTGCGAGAGCGAGACCTCAAGATCAACATGCTGGAGGCTGACACTCTCGACCTCAGACGTCAGCTGAAGAAGAAGACTGAACAAATGAACAAATTGCAGCGTGAGGTACACAAGCTTAAGGTGAGTACAGTTGTTCATTGTACCTGCTCGTGTAGCTCTTGATGTACCTTCTCCTGTAACTCTTGATGTTCCTCCTGCTGTGACTCTTGCTGTGACTCTTGATGTACCTCCTGGTGTAACTCTTGATGTACCTCCTGGTGTAACTCTTGATGTACCTTCTGCTGTAACTCTTGATGTTCCTCCTGCTGTGATTCTTGATGTACCTCCTGGTGTAACTCTTGATGTACCTCTTGCTGTGACTCTTGATGTACCTCCTGGTGTAACTCTTGATGTACCTCCTGGTGTAACTCTTGATGTACCTCCTGGTGTAACTCTTGATGTACCTCCTGGTGTAACTCTTGATGTACCTCCTGGTGTAACTCTTGATGTACCTCCTGGTGTAACTCTTGATGTACCTCCTGGTGTAACTCTTGATGTACCTTCTGCTGTAACTCTTGATGTACCTCCTGCTGTGATTCTTGATGTACCTCCTGGTGTAACTCTTGATGTACCTCCTGGTGTAACTCTTGATGTACCTCTTGCTGTGACTCTTGATGTACCTCCTGGTGTAACTCTTGATGTACCTCCTGGTGTAACTCTTGATGTACCTCCTGGTGTAACTCTTGATGTACCTTCTGCTGTAACTCTTGATGTACCTCCTGGTGTAACTCTTGATGTACCTTCTGCTGTGACTCTTGATGTACCTCCTGCTGTGATTCTTGATGTACCTCCTGCTGTGACTTGATGTACCTCCTGCTGTGACTCTTGATGTACCTCCTGCTGTGACTTGATGTACCTCCTGCTGTGACTCTTGATGTACCTCCTGCTGTGACTCTTGATGTACCTCCTGGTGTAACTCTTGATGTACCTCCTGCTGTGACTCTTGATGTATCTCCTGCTGTGACTCTTGATGTACCTCCTGCTGTGACTCTTGATGTACCGCCTGGTGTAACTCTTGATGTACCTCCTGCTGTGACTCTTGATGTACCTCCTGTTGTGACTCTTGATGTACCTCCTGCTGTGACTTGATGTACCTCCTGCTGTGACTCTTGATGTACCTCCTGTTGTGACTCTTGATGTACCTCCTGCTGTGACTTGATGTACCTCCTGCTGTGACTCTTGATGTACCTCCTGGTGTAACTCTTGATGTACCTCCTGCTGTGACTCTTGATGTACCTCCTGGTGTAACTCTTGATGTACCTCCTGGTGTAACTCTTGATGTACCTCCTGCTGTGACTCTTGATGTACCTCCTGCTGTGACTCTTGATGTACCTCCTGCTGTGACTCTTGATGTACCTCCTGCTGTGACTCTTGATGTACCTCCTGGTGTACCTCCTGTTGTACCGCCAGTTGTACCTCCTGTTGTACCTACTGATATACCACCTGTAACTCGGATTGTACTGCCTGTTGTACCAACTGTTAAACCTGCCGCTGTACCTCCTGATGAACCTGTTGTTCCACCTGTCTCTTGAATCTTCTGCTTTACCTTATTCCTACCGTTGCACCACATACCTGTAGATGTACCTCCCGTTGTACCTCATACCTACCGCTGTACCGCCTGTTGTATCTGCTGCTGTACCTTCTGCTATACATTCTGTACCTCCTGTTGTACTTCCTGTTGTCCCTCATGCCTGTTGTATCTCCTACCTGTTATACCTCCTACCTGTTATACCTCCTACCTGTTGTACCTCCTTCCTGTTGTACAGCCTTCCAGTTGTACCTCCTTCCTGTTGCTCCTCCAACTTGTTGTACTTCCTACCTGTTGTATCTCCTTCCTGTTGTACCTGCTTCCTTTTGTACCCTCTTCCTGTTTACTGCCTACCAGTTAAACATCCTATCTGTTGTTCCTCTTACCTGTTGTTCTTCCTACCTGTTGTACCTCCTACCTGTTGTACCTCCTACCTGTTGTACCTCCTACCTGTTGTACCTCCTACCTGTTGTACCTCCTACCTGTTGTACCTCATTCCAGTTGTACCTCCCTGTTGTACCTCCTACCTGTTGTACCTCCTTCCTGTTGTACATCCTTGTTATGCCTCCTAATTGTTGTACCTTCTACCTGTTGTACCGCCTGCCTGTTACACATCGTATCTGTTATTCCTCCTACCTGTTGTACCAACTACCTGTTCCTACTACCTGTTGTTCCTACTACCTGTTGTTCCTCCCACCTGTTGTTCCTCCCACCTGTTGTGCCTCCTTCCTGTTGTTCCTACTACCTGCTGTACCTCCTTCCTGTTGTTCCTACTACCTGTTGTGCCTCCTTCCTGTTGATCATACTATCTGTTGTTCCTACTACCTGTTGTACCTCCTTCCTGTTGTTCCTCCTATCTGTTGTACCCCTACCTGGTGTTCCTACTACCTTTTGTTCCTACTACCTGTTGTTCCTAGCTGTTCTACCTGTTGTTCCTCTACATGTACCCCCTACGTGTTGTTCCTCCAGCTTTTCTTCCTTCTACCTGTTGTTCTTTCTGCCTGTTGTTGTTCCTACCTGTTGTTCTTCTACCTTCTCCTACATGTTGTTCCTTATATCTGTTATTACTCTACCTGTTCATACTTGTTGATTCTGCCTGTTGTTCCTCCTACCTATTGTTCCCCCTATGTTGTTCTTCTTACCTGTTGTTCCTCTACCTGTTGTTCCTCATACTTATTGTTCCTCCTACCTATTGTTCCTCCTACCTATTGTTCCTCCTACCTATTGTTCCTCCCATGTTCTTCTTACCTGTTGTTCCTCTACCTGTTGTTCCTCCTACCTATTGTTCCTCCTATGTTGTTCTTACCTGTTGTTCCTCTACCTGTTGTTTCTCCTACCTGTTGTTCCTCTACCTGTTGTTCCTCCTACCTGTTGTTCCTCTACCTGTTCCTACTTGCTGTTAATACCTGTTGTTCCTCTTTCCTGTTGTTCCTCCTACCTGTTGTCCCTCCTAGCTGTTGTTCCTCCTACCTGTTGTTCCTCCTACCTGTTGTTCCTCTTACCTGTTGTTCCTCCTACCTGTTGTTCCTCCTACCTGTTGTTCCTACTTGCTGTTAATACCGGTTGTTCCTCTTTCCTGTTGTTCCTCCAACCTGCTGTTCCTCCTACCTGTTGTTCCTCCTACCTGTTGTTCCCACTAGCTATTGAACCACCAACCTGTTCCTAATACCCGTTTTTTTTTCTCCTACCTATTGTTTCCTACTACCTGTTGCTTCTAATACCTGTTGTCCCTAAATGAGGTTTTATTTACTAATGTGTAGAACTATAAGATAACCTTTTGGACTCTTGTTGCGTGTACTTGATGCAAATCGAAACAGTCTGTATGTCTGATGTATGCATATCACTGTTGTCTTGGCTTCAGATTTCTGCTTACCTTAGCTCCAAAGCTCTGTTCACATTATCTGTGTCCATGTTTCATATTACTTAGTTTACAAATGTCAAGGTCATTTTCATTCCCCAGGATTTAAACTTGTTTCTCTTCTACATTAAACTTCATCTTTCCGACAGCATGAATAGCTTGTCTAAATCATCCTGAAGTTTAATGGTACCGTTCTCAGAATTTATTTGTTGGCCACCTTTTGTGTTGTCACTGAGTGAATAAACGTCGCTATTTATTCTCCCATCAAAAGTTCCTAATTATTATTATGAACAAGAGGTCCAAACTGACATACAACCAGTTCTGAAGACTCATGACATCGTAATGACACGATTGCAAACAAACCATACCACGGGTTGGGTTAGAACCCGCGATCAGAGAGTCACAAAGCTCCAGCTGGTCCGGTGGCTAACGCGTCGGTCTGGAGTCTTGTGACTCTGATCGCGGGTTCTAACCTCACCAGTGGTATGGCCAGTTCTGATGGTCTGTTTGGGCTGGTTCAGTGGGGAGAACGGTCAGTAACCTCTCTGGGGAGTTGACACTGGTTTTACAGTTGTGGTCTGGATCACTTCAATAATTTGGAAACTATGACCTGGAAAACACTTTCCCAGATTCTGGGGACCCACACTGAAAAAAAACAAGAATATTGTTCTAACTAAACCTCATGAAACACCACTACATCCCACTGATACAGCTAACAAGATAAACGACTTCTTCTCAAACATAGGATCTAATCTCGCCAGTAAAATCCCAAGTACCAATGCCCGTGCCGGGGACTACCTAGATGGGAATTTCCCAAATTCCTTCTATCCAACTGAGCCCACGGAAGTCGCCACGATCATAAAGTCACTTAAAAATAACTCGGGGAATCTGTCTCACGTCCCACCATTATTGTACAAGCGAGCGGCCCATGTCCTTTCGCATGCTATTACATTACTTTTTAACACGTCACTAGAAACTAGCACTTTCCCGACACTACTCAAGACAGCAAGCGTTACACCAATACATAAAGGTGGTGACCCTACAGACGTAAACAACTGTAGGCCAATATAAAACTTACCATTGCTATCCAAAATCTTCGAGAAACTCGTGCACAGGAGACTATATTCATTTATAACGTCACAAAACATACTCAACCCCTGCCAATTTGGATTCAGGAAAAATAAAAGCACTAATGATGCAATTATAAAAATGCTAGACCTACTTTACACAGCATTGGAAAATAAGGAATATCCGCTAGGAATTTTTATTGACCTAAGAAAAGCGTTTGACACAGTAGACCACGGCATCCTACTCCACAAACTTGACCACTATGGTATAAGAGGCCATGCGCTTGCATATTTTAAATCCTACCTTTCTAATAGGTATCAGTATGTCACCATTAAAGACAGCCTCTTCAGTACGGCCACTTGATACTGGAGTTCGCAGGGAAGTGTCCTTGGACCCCTGCTCTTTCTCATTTACATCAATGATCTTCCAAACATATCCCAACACCTGAAACCCATTCTCTTTGCTGACGACACGACTTATGTCATCTCCCACCCTAATCTTGCCACCCTCAACACCATTGTTAACGAGGAGCTGCTCAAAATATCGACTTGGATGACAGCCAATAAACTTACACTTAATACTGGCAAAACCTACTATATTATGTTTGGTAGCAGAGCAGGTGTTGCG